GTGTGCCCCTATCATTATTTTTTACAGATATATACTAGCTAGTCGTTACCTATCTCTTGACTTTCTTTTTCTTTTTTGAAAATGAACAAATTTCCATTAACCAACGAGAAATGAATGTAGATACCAAAAGATCTCAGACAAAACTGAGATCAAACTCCCTTGAATTTTTCAATAGTACATACTCTTTCTATCTTCTTCTTAAAAGAGACATGCATTTTGTGCGAAAGGTTTGAAATATATTTGATACAAGTAAAATTTGTTTTTCCTAAAATTTTCATATAACACTCCTCTATCTTTTAGATGCATCAAATGCAGCTAATTACGCGCATTAAATTTGAATCAGATCATCTCTCAGTTCTACTCCTTCATCAAGAGCAGCTCATATATATGACTGTTAATTGCTTATTTTTGAATAAAAAATGTGGCGCAATAAATTTTCAACGGTTAATTATTAACTATATAAATGGAAAAGGACACCTTAATTATTTGCCATATATATATCAATATAAAGCAAGTGGCTTTGACGTAATAATATTATTCGCGTGAAGAGACAATTAATCCAACTGATAACCAATTATGGCGCGCATTAAAAGCCTAACTGATACCTAATTATTGCATTAAAGATGAGTATCTCATGTGCTTCCTTATATTCTAATACTAATACTCCTCTATGGATTCGGATCCTCTCCACTACAAAAAAAATAGTGGAGGGACCACTACATAATCACGGCCATTGATTATCTAGTTAATGGTTGTGATTTTTTCTTTTAGGGGCTGTTTGGTTCGCTATTATAAGGGGTAGAAAACTCAGAAAACCCCTCCACGTCAGATTTTTAGCCCTCCACGTCAGCTTTTTTGTTTCCGTCCATTTCTTTGTGCCGCTTTGGTTCGCTCGATTGGAAGAGGGAAAACTCTGCTGAAATCGCCGCCAACTAAGATTTTTTTCCCTCTCCGATTTCCTTCCCCAACCAAGTGAAATTGATGAAAACTCTGCCACGTCAGATTTTTTTCCTTCTCTGCTTTGTTTACAAAAGTTTTACTTTTTTTTTAATGCGAACCAAATACAAGAAAAGTAAATACATTGGTTTCCCATCATTTTTTATGTGCGAACCAAAGCAAAACAATCTATTTCTTAGAAAAGTTTGAAAAACTCAAAACTTGTGCAAAACAATCTATTTCTTAGAAAAGTTTGAAAAACTCAAAACTTGTGTTTCTTTACATGGAATTGCATTTCTCTATATCAAGGAAACGAAACTTGTGTTTCTTTACATGGAATTGCATTTCTCTATATCAAGGAAACGAACCAAACAGCCCCTTAGTGCAAATTAGGAATGAGTGCAATACATGAGGGTATGATAAGTGTTAGATTTAGATTGTATCATAACCGCATACTAAATAATCAACGATTGAGATTAAAAGCAGTGGTCTCTCCACTACTTTTTTGTAGTGGAGAGGATCCAAATCCCTCATCTATCTATCTTTGAAAAGGAAGTTTTCTACAAAACCTAATTAAATGTAAAGTTTTCCTTTTGACCCATTAAACTAGAAAAGTTTTTGCTAACTAATAAAAAACTTAGTAGCTATTTTGGCTGGCAACAATGGGGTCATCAGTTCAATATTATCCATTACCCTAGGCATGCTCAACTTTTCATAGGTAGAAACGTATCGTTACTTCTTTGTTAATTGATGGCAATAATAATAAAAAAAGCTATGTGTTGATGGTTTAAATCACACAGTCAAAAGGTACTAGAGACTGAGTTGATATGGGGGCCGTTCGTTTTTCCATTTGGAGTTGGGTTGTTCGTCCCTGCACGCGTAACAACTCGTAAGAGGACGGGGACTGCTTCCCCGTTGTTCCTCTAATGATCAAGTCAACTAGACGCTTGAGTGGGAATATGAGAAAAATGCAACGGAATGGAGAAAAATGCTGAGAAATTGCTTACCTTTGTATTTATAATAGTTTTTCCTTTTATAGCCAAGCAAGAGGAGTGGTCTAGTCTTTTAGCCGAGCCTGAGCTGGCGGTTGAGTCAGCATCTACTTTACAGGTGTTGGTTGTGGATCAGGTACGGTATGGGCGCTATCATTTCACTACTAATGAGATGCGATGGGCGGCATACAAAGTCGGTGTGATCCGATGTGTCATAAATAGTGTCGGGATGGAGAAATGATGGTGCTTGCCAAGCATTTAATGTCAGAAAACCCCCTTAGCTTTTAGACGATTATCGAAAAAATTCTCTTTTAACTTTTAAAATATTAGAACCCCCTTAAGTATAGGGATTATTACCAACAACCGCAACCCCCCCCGCCCCGCCACCCACCCCCACCCCCCCCCCCCCTAAGAAAAACAACGAAAAAAAACCTCTTTAATTTTTAGATTTTTTCAGTAAACCCCCTTTAACTTTAATATTGTTCAGAAATCCCCCTAAATTTAAGAGGGTTTCTGATAAAATCTCAAGTTAAGGGGGGTTTTCTACTAAGGTATGTTTGCTTTTTTTCTCAAAAGCATAGAAAAAGAAAATGGTGCTGAAAAGCTCTTTTTCACGGGTTTTCATGTATTTCTTGATTTTTTTTCCTTTTTTTTTCCGCCAAGATATAGGGCGGAGAGTGATTTCTTTATAATCTCCGGATTGGTTCAAACCAAAAAAAAAATAAAAACTAAAAAGTAAAAAATTAAAGCAACTCCTTAAGTCCTGTATGAAAAATAAAAAAAGGTAGAAAAGTGAGCTTCGCAAATAAATAATTTAATGTGTTAGATTTCGGACAAATTTTTAAAAAGAACCGTTTTTCAACTTTAATGTGCAAAATCGACCATTAAAAAAAATTTTAGCAAAATCGACCCTTTCACCAGGTTCCTCCCTATTCTCAGCTCCTGCAACGCCGAGAGCCTCCCAATCTCCGTCGGCAAAGACCCAGCGATCAGATTCCTCGACAAATCCAAGATCATCAGCGAGGGAAAGCCCGTCAACCACCCTGGAACTGGTCCACCACCTGCAGCACCCTCGAAACCACCGTCCTCTCCTCCGCCCCCGGCGGCGAAAACCCACTGAACACATTAAAACCCAGATGCACAATCTTCAAAGAAGAGGCCTTGGTGGCCGCATAAAACACTGAATGTGGTACTAAACCCGAGAGCTGGTTGTGAGCCAATGACAAAACCTGGAGCGTCGGAATCTCAGCAATGGCGCTCGGCACAATGCCCTGAAGATTATTGCCCTGAAGGCTAAGATGAAGGAGAGAAGAGCAGTTCGCAAGGAGAGGGAAGAGGGGAGCTGGCCGGAGAGGGGGTAAGAGCGGAGGCTGAGCTTGGAGAGATGAGGGAGGGAGAGGAAACAAGGGGAGGGGAGCTGGCCGGAAAGGTGGAGGCGGAGCTCGGTCACGTGGCCGTCAGGGGAGGAGCACGTGATGCCGCGCCAGGAGCAGGGGGAGTTTGGGAGGGATGGGTTCCATGAAGAGAGACAGCGGAGGTGGTTGTTGAGGGAGGGAGGGAGGGGGGAGAGAGAGGGGAGGTGAGTGAGGAGAGAGATAGGATGCACGGGACTGCTAGTCCCGTGCACTCTAAAAAAGTCCCAATCAGTAAAATCGACCCTTTTTAAATGAAAATGGTCGATTTTGCTATTTTTTTTTAAAATGGTCGATTTTGCACATTAAAGTTAAAAAACGGTTTATTTTAAAAATTTGTCCTTAGATTTCCAGTCCATTTTCTCTTAAACTGTTAGAAATTGGATTTTTGGCAAAATTAGATTGTGTCTTATACTATATAGAAACTCATTTCCTGAAATTATTTGTGAAGCAAACTAAAAAATAAGATTTATGTTTTAATTTTTTTTCCCCTGAATGCATGCTTCAATCCTTTAATTTCCACGCCGTTTCCGCCATAGTAGTTTCCTCTCCTGTTTGTTTCGCAAAAAAATACAGAAAGTGGGGGAAAGTGTGGGAAAAGAAAATATTTTTTGACGTTTTCCTTCACTTTCAGAGGTTTGGTTCGTCAAAGCTATAAAAGAAAGTGGGGGAAAGTATGAGCTGTCACTATTTTATTGGTTGATGTGAGTAATTTTTGATGTTTTCCTCCACTTTCCTTATTTAGATTTTTTTCTTGTGTTTGGTTCATTCTTAAAAGTTTGGGAAAAAAGATAAGATGAGATGAGATGAGATGAGTTGTCACCATATTATTGGATGATGAGATGAGATGAGTTTTCCTCCACAAACCTTGTTTTTTTTTTTAGGAAAGTGATGGAAGGAAATTTTAATGGGATGTGATGAGTTGTCACCATATTATTGGATGATGTGAGTAATTTTTAAAGATGATAGAAAACGAAGAAAAGTGGGGGAAAGTGAGTTAGATGAGTTGATTGATGTGACCCATTTCTTGTGTTTTTTTTATTTTTAAAAGTATGAAATAAGATGTGGTGGGATGAGTTGTCACAATATTATTGGAGGAAAGTGGAGAAAGTGAAGAAAAGTAGGTTTTGGAAAGTGGGGGAAAGTAAAAAAGTGAAGGAAAATGGGTTTTGGATTCTGGGGGAAACGAAACAAACAGGCCCTAAACAAGCATCCATTATGATTAAACTATTAAAAAGAATTCAATTTTATAATACTAACACTGTTACATACTAAACTTATTACTGATGATCTGAACAGTTAAAAAAATTTCAATATAGCTCTCACAGTCTTGATTCAACAACCCTATTACCATGATCAGGGTAGTAAAAATGTTCCAATATAATTCTTACCCTACCGGCGAGGTTATCAAAAGAAACACCATCACGGGCTAAAATAATAATTACATAGATTAAAAATAAAATAGCATTATCTAACGTCAATTATCAACCACGGATGATTTGTTAGCTGCCACGTTTCACGCTCCCCGTGCAATGCCCTTGCTTTACCTACACGTGTTCTTCGCATGCAATTACGTGGCAGCGCCACGTAAAACCTCCTTAGCCTATATAAACTCTCTGCCTCAAACCTCAACCGACCTCAATTAATTCATCATCAACTCCATTAAGAAAACAAAATTTAAAAAAAAAAAAACCAAGAAAACATATTCAACATCGAATCGTGAGAGAATGCAGGCCGCTAAGGAGAAGGCTAGCAACGTTGCAGCATCGGCCGTGGCTGGCGCGGAGAAAACCAAGGCCACCGTCCAAGAGAAGGTCATCTTCATTCATTTACACAAGTTTTTGAATTTTTTTGGAGAAATTTTACAAAAAAAAATTCATCGACTTTAGTGATTTTTTTACTACTAAAGAATCATGAACTATATATTGAAAATTGTTGATAATGGTTGCGGCAAATTTGTACAAAATCAATATTCCCCGAGTTCGATCATAGTAAATTTGTTTTCGGCGAAATATATTATATAATGTTATTGAAGACATATTTTTGTAATACGCATGCAGGTGGATAAGATGAAGGCACACGACCAGGCAGATAAGGCGGCGGCGGAGCAACGCAAGGAAGAGCGAAAGCAGGAGGCGGAGGCGAAGAAAGAAATCAGAAAGGATGAGAATGCGGAGGCAAGGGCCACTGCCCAATCCGGCGTGCACCACGCCACTGCCGGGTACGGGTCAGGCAACACAGTGACCCGAACCCCGGTAGCCCGTGAGAGGACCGTTGAGGGGAACAACCCGACGGCATACGGGGCATAATGACCGGATTGTCTTCGGAAGGAAGGGGAGCCGATGATACTTTATATCTGGCTCCGTTGTGTTTTTTATGTTCCGGCTTTGCATTTTTATTAGGAAAATAAGGAGGGGTTTTTTCTTTTTTTATTGGATGCAGTTTGGGCTTTGTTGAATGTGTTCAGTGTGTTAGGGTCATGTTGAATTGTTGTCAATGAAATGTGGTATGGTAAATGTTATTCTTTACTGAAGGATGGAATTTCCGATGAAGTTGGGAATTCGATATTTGTGAGTAATTTGACAACAGAGGTTAGACTTGGTAAGGAAATATAAATAAATGAAGGGAAAAGAAAAGAAATACTGGAATTGTTGCGAAACAGTTGGGATGGTGGCGGGCTTTTGTGCGAGGCCTGCGAAAATCCTGCTACAAATGATCGATAGATTTCTATCAAGAAAAATCCACCGTCGTCGTCATACCCGACGACTCGTAGACAAACAAAAGATATTGCACAAAAAGCATAAATAGCAAGTGTTCAAAACTTCTATTAAGAAAAGTAATAAATCAGGCTGATGCTAAACTGAACACACAGCAAATATACAAGTATAGAGAACAGTTCAGTTATTACGCCCATCAAATAACCTAGCTTACAGCTTATAAGCCCACACCAAGAGAAACAGCATCAGTGGTTCACGTCTTAACTTAATCAGTGCACAAACTTCCTAAATCTATTAATCCAACCCTTTTGCGCATCATTAAAAGTCGATAGATAAAAAATACCGAATACTGTCTCCACAACACATCCTCAGTTGAAGGCCACGCAATACATCTAACTGACAGAAGAGAAGGCAAGCCCAGGGAAGTAATAAACAGAACCAGAACAGCCTAGATAAATAACTCTACAGGCTAACCACAAAAGCTAGAAAATGTATAATTAACACCGCACAGAGTCGGTCTAGATCACCCGTGAAAGTTCGAGTCCCATGGTAGTCACTTCCCACGGCAAGAGCGGATAAATTACTTAAAACCCTGCAACCACTAATCAAATAAACAAAGCAAATCTCAGACAACGCAAACTCAAACAGCTGCTTTCCGCAACTCGCTAGCACCGTGAGCAAAATGGCATCGGTCGCCAAACGTGCAGGAGCCCTTTGCGAAGTTCTCACAGAGCTTGGTCTTGAAATTACTCGCAGAACGAGTAGCAGCGGAAGGAGGAGCAGAGCAGCCACCGGTGTCTTCGCAGGAACGGAAGCAGTTGCGCTGATGTTCAATAGCAGCTCCTGCACCAATGCATTAGCCTTACTGATCTGATCAATTGACCCCTCGAGCTCAATGTTCTTCAGCTTAGCATCAGACTCGTGATCACGTATGGCCAGCTTCACTCCTGTGGCACGGGAGATGTGCTTGGTGTTGGCCCCGCCCTTTCCGATGATGGCACCGAAGAGAGAGGCATCAACGCTTATTTTTGCTGTGGCTGAAGCGCTAAAGCTCCCCGGTGCAGGAGTAGCTGCAGGTGGTTGGGGCCGCTCTACGTGAGCCATCATCCTTCCGGCGCTCACTGGCGTCGGTAGGGCCACGGGACTGTTGTGAGATGGTACAATTGGCTTGCCAAGCTCCCTATCGCCATGGGCAAAGTTACACTTGTCACCAAATTTACAGCCTTCAGCAGTGTTGTACTTGTTGCACATCTTAGTCTTCAAGTTGGAGGGAGGTGGGGCATGAGTGTCTGGGATGGGAGGAGGTGCAATGGGGACTCTGAAGGATGGGGCTTGAGCAGCAGCGTTCCCCATGTTAGTCATCTGGGAGACAACAGCGTAGCCACCAGGAACATAATGCTGGAAATGGCATCCCTCGCCAAATGGACAGCCAACCATGCTGCAGCATAGTATAACATTAGAGTTTATAACCAATAACCATAAAAATGTAAAATACTACAACAAGACACATACCATGGAAGGACAATTATGCGTATCAACAGACTTGCGTGCAAAAGATTATATAAAAATGCAAAAGGTTATTTCTTCAACAAACTATAAACTATAATCACTTAATGTATGTATCAGTTATTTTTAAGATAAAAATCTGCATAAAATAGCTATACAAGTCATTAGTTACACAGAGGCATATATATATATATAGATTAATGGGTATCATCTGTCATATGAGAGGATTCCCTCATATACAATGATGTGGCACAATCTCCACCAAGTGAATAAAGTAGGAGAGAGAATGCCTCATAAATACACTTGGTGGAGATTGTGCCACATCATTGTATATGAGAGAATCCTCTCATATGACATATGATACCCATTCAATCTCATTATATATAATATATAGTACTATATATATTATATATATGTTTTTGCGTCATCTGTGCGGGTCGTTATAACTCTGTTCAACATCAGATAGGGATTGCCGGATTGGACTGCATAAAAGCAAAATCGTATGCACGAGAATCCAATACAATAAAAAGAAATGTGCACCAAACAAAAAAAATTCAGGAACTTCCGTATTCACTCAGCAATTAACTCATAATGCAGATTTCCTGATAGAATGTGAATCTCTTGCAAATCACAGTATTATAAAGGAAATTGCACGGATATAAGGAAGCAAAGGAACAAAGAAATTTCAGATATTAGCACTGAAGAAATGCCGGATGAGAGAAGCAGAAAATATCAAGCAGTATAGTTTTTGTGTGCATTTAAAGGTCGCAGCTCACTTTGCTAAATGAACAACCTAGAGATGAGCCCGAGCCCACACTATTAGTCTTGTGTACCACAAAATCCTCTCAGCAACTCATTTGGCTAAATGACCCAACCGCTCATATCCAGTGCTCCCTTTAAAGGATTGAGCAAAACGTGCAAACATGAAACACCTCAAACTAGAATCACAGCATATTGTTTCCACACAAAAACAACATAGTAACAATAAAGGGAAACAAGTCCATAATAATCAAGGATAAGAAAATAAACCTTCTCATTTTAAAGCATAAATGGCCTGGATATCCAAGAGGATATGCATGTTATCTATTCTACCTGGGTACTCCTAATATGGAGCCGTACCCATACCTAACATGTGTTGTACCCATGCCGTATCCGACACTTCATAGACACTCCTTAAATATATGCACATATTTATTAAGACTTGTGCTCGATTATGCAATGCATGTTTAATTTAAAACACTCATCATACACTCTTCGATATTTGATTAGATCGTGAAGCTTAGTCGCTTTTATTATTGTAGTTCCTTTTAATGTACCAATTCAGAATAGAATCTGGTAATCCACATATCATAGTATTTCACGATCTGGTTATACACAGGAACTCTATGTTCTAATCATGTGGTCTGGTGGGATTCTTCCATTTACTGCCAGTTGAGCTGAGTTAATATCTAAATAATTTCGACGCAGAAAATCTTTTGATCATATGATTTTAAAATCTTTTGTAGTTCTTTCTTCTGAATTTAGTTTTTAACATATTCTTTGAAAATTCACCAGAAATCAAAAGCCACGTTGTTAGAAAGCCTTAGTGATGAGGATTACTAAACCTATGAAATTAATTAGATAAAAGCCTGATAATCTATGCTTCAAGGACAATCTAACGAATCAGAAACAGAGGGAAATGTTGTAGTTGTAGGGCATTCTTCTATTCATACTGAGAAATATGCCAATGCCAGAAGTTAGGAACTGAGCAGCACGTGTTGTTGATTTTCCTGATTGACCGGCAAGAAGAGGAATATCCTGGTGTATTAATTGCACTAAACCACTAAACATCTTGGGAGATGGGCAATACCTGTGATGAGATCGTGGGTGATGATAAAGAGTTTTAGAGTAAACGAGCAAAATTGACCAGCATGATGCCGCGGCATTTGTGCAGAAAATGCCAAAAAAATAATGGTTTAATATTGCAAAACTAAAACAAATTAGAATAACATACACCGTATACCAAACTACAGAAATACAAAATGAATTTAAAAACAATTCAACAGGATATGTTGGGTCTAAGAGTGATGTTAGTAATAGATGGATATTCAGAATAAACAATGGTTTGAGTATTTAGTTTAAAAATACACTGTATCTAACAGTTTTGAACAAAAACATAACAAGTTCAAGCAAAATAGAACAACTTACACCATATACCATACTTGTGACATATAAAGTGGATTTAAAATTAATCCCATCAAGTATTTTGGGTCAAAGTATGATTTTGGAAGTGGGTTTAAAAATAAATGATGGTGTAAACCTTTTGGTTTTAGGGGCAAAAACTCCTAAAAACGGATGGTTGACACTTTACAAATAAATGGGGGCAAAGCTTTGGGTTTATAGGTCGAAAAGCCATCTAAGATTCATGATGCTTCAACATTAGTGTGAGAAAAGAAAATAATATAATGGTCTAGGCATTTTATTATACTGTATACTTAGCCACTCTCTCTCTATATATATATATGTGTGTGTGTGTGTGTGTGTGTGTGTCAGAAAAATACAGTAATTTACTAACTTACCACCAAACTGCTGAAATACAATGACGGCTTAAAAATAATTCGGTAAAATATTTTGGTTCTAAAAGTGATTTTGGAAGTGAGTTTAAAATAGATAGATTGAAACTCTGCGTTTATTAGCCAAAAATATTTTGGAAAGCGGATGAATTTTAAAATAATGCCAGTAGACCTTTAGGCTTATGAGAAATAATATTTATTGAACTACAAAGAGGATTTAGAAATGGAGATATTGAAACTTTTGCTTTAAATTTTGGAAATGGGTTTAAAACATATGGATTAAAAACTTTGGGTTTACTAGCAAAAAAACTTGTCTTTTTTTTTCTTTTTTGAGTTTAAAATAAATGAGTAACTTTTGGTTTAGGAAAAAAAAACTCTTTTTTCTGGGAGTGCTTAATAAAGGGGGTAGAACTTTGGGTATATAAAGCAAGATGACAAAAAAGAGCACAAAAAAGTTGAGGTTTCCTCTAGGATTCGAACCTGAGATCAGCAACAACTAAAGGCCCAATAATTACTGCTGGGGCACATGACAGCCTTACATACTTTCAGCACATCATCCTACATGTTAAGTAATTGCAGATGAACTGTAGCTAAGCACTGTTCCCCTCCAATAACCTTAGTACATATATAAGTTAACATGTGTCTGTCTTCAACTTATATTGGTTACA